CGTAATTTTAGAGGGACAGACACCTTCCACATTTTTCGTTCTCTACGTGACCATTAGACTGTTCTCCACGGATTTAGTAAAAGATCTGTATTCATGACCACAGATCACGGAGAATGAGACGGTTAAATCGAATGGCTTTTTTCTCATCAGCATGGGGAGCTCACTGTCCAGTAAAGACGCTTTAATGTTGTTAAGAATGGCTAATACCGCCTCCATTCTTCGACTGATTTCGCTGTATGGCGAGATCATCTGGTCCACCTCATGGTCAAGCTAGACACAGCTGGCGAATTCTTTGAATCTTTTCGCGCCTGTACACAGAACTCCCGCGGCATATCCGTTGACCTTCAATCCCGTTATGAGATCCTTCTGCAACTGCCGGATTTTCTATTTTGTGAAGATGGTGCAGTCTTCAGCAAATAGCATTCAGTTGCTAGTCCGTCAATATTCATGCATTTGAGCTAGTTAGAGAGTGAAGTGACTCCAGGGATGCATCGCCTGTGAGGATTGTATCTCCTTGATACACTCCTCGAAGGATACTGATTGCGACCTGGTTCGCTAACGGCTTAACGTCAGTCATGCAATCGATGTTCAGCTGCTCGGTCTGACTCACTTAAACATGGTTCACTCAATTTTCGTGCCAGGCGTTTTTTACAACTATCAGTTCTGTCGAATCGAAAGCCTTTTTGTAGAGTTCTTCGATTTCCCCTCTTCTCACTAAACTCCACATTCTTGTAATTTTTTAACACTTTCCCGTTCATTTTCATGTCTTGCGCAATTGTTGGTTTTCTTCATCTTCAGCTTGTTTGTTTGGACAAACTGGGATAATTTATGTTTATGCTTTTGTCAGCCTATAGAAGCAAAATTGCCATTCGAGTGATATCACATTTCAAAAGGAGAATTCCTCCCGTTTTCTATGAGCCCAACGCCGTCAGGCCGAGGTCAATTCTGGAAGACCTCGTGAGTAAAACTCTTGGTTTCCGCCATTTTGTTGTGCGACAAATTCAGGATGTCTTCGGCTTTCGCTGATTTGAATTACATCCGTCTTCTCGGTTTCCCACACCGCTTTGTTAATGGCGTTCATGGATTAGCGCTGTTTACAAGGATTTTGCTGTCGTTTCGAGAGATCTACCAATCGCGTCCTGAGGTCTACTGAACTGTAGATGATGTTCAGGTCGATGCGGTATGCTGCACCCACTTGTACGTTTTCAGTTTATCTTTGAGCGTCATATGGCGAGTAGTCATCTGGCAGTTTGTTGAAGTTCAACCCTCGTGAACTATTGCCAGAATCTTCTCAGCCTTCGAAGTAATGATGGACTTTGTAAGAATTTGGTCACAGGAAGATATGAGTAGCGAATGGCGGTGAGCACCACTACATCAACTTACCTCAACAGAAAGGAAAAAGGAAAAATTTGCAACCGTTGGAATGTCAGTCTTCCTTAAAATGTGAACTGGAGCCGATTCTAGCCCTTTATTTTCATGTGGTTAATGGTGGTGGCCTTGATTGATTCATTTCCAAGTCATCAGCCAAGAATGCCTGATCATTAAAGTCAAAATCGATAGCCGTTACACGCGCAGTCTGCATTCTCCCATTTCCTTCCCACTGATTTCTCAACCTGTGAGCGATGCGGTGTTGCCTAAAACACAGGGCCTTTCGATTGTAAGTGCGAAGCTCTACCGACCGAGTACCCCTGTCTGAGACAAGGTTAAGCAAATTCTTTGCTCAAGGGAATTCGTGGTAGATACAAAGATCGCGGAAATCCCACTGCGGAAATCGAACTCGGTATCTCATGAGTTCGAATTCGAAGCCGATCTCTTCACGGGTGCTGCAGCAGATATGTTATGTTTGCTAAGCGTATTTGCAGTCATCTTACATGCGGCTTGCAGGAAGCTTGTAAAATCTGATCTGACAAGCTGTCAGCTGATAGACAGATGCGTCCATGACCTTGATCTTTTTAATCTTCTTTCCTGTTTTCTTGCCGCCATCTTTATCTATATCTATACACTACACTTGTGCATGAACCTTGTCCAGAAAGTCAACTTTGGCATTACCGTCCTGAAACGCGTGGTAGTCAAAGTGACTAATTGGGCACCAGCGTGTAATACGATGGGATAGATCCACATTGCCTCTGCAATAGCCGTGAAGTGCTTTCATGAAAACCGATATCTTTGCAACCACAGAATGACACGTGGCTATGAAAAATCTCGTTCTGCTTACGATGTTAACATGTCAAGGACAACAGTAGTCAGATTGCAAATCAGAACTGAAGGCTGGAGCCACTGTCCATATTTTTCGTGCATGCATTCTGAAGCACCGCTTTTCTTTGCAGGCCACTTTGGCAGCTGCACTGGTAGGTCTTTCCTGAGGTTCAGGTCAGATCCCAGAGTCCGGCAGTACCGTATTCCATAGCCGTCCCCCTATACGTGATTAAATCGTTTCATTACGACTTCTACTTCATAATCGATTATGACCATTCCTCGTACATGACCGATTCGATGATAAACAAGATCCGCTTGGTTTTCGCGTGTTCTATGTATGGCAATACCGAATGCAGCAGATGACAATGCAACAAAACCGTTCCGCCTCACCAATGAGCATCAATCATCTCATCCAACAAAAATACAAATGACCGAGTAGGAGTAAAACCTAAAAACTTGAAAATTGCCTGGAATGCTGATATGGAATTTTAATCTCGTGCTTAAGGCAGATTTCAATTATTCCATTTCAAGGTTGAATGGTCATGACAAACCGGCTTGCTCTCCGTGACATTCTTTTCACCGGTGTGGGCGTCTCTTCTTGTTCTTGACCCGCCACCGCTGTGCGTGTTTCGAACAGACCTGAACGGTGAAAAGTCGAAATTACAAATTGCGCTTTCGACCGCGCTTATGACGTCAACAAACATTCTACTGCGAAATTATCTTAAAAGTT